CATTCCCCCGGAGGAGCTGGAGGAAGTGTCTGGAGAGAGGGAGGTCTGGGCATCTTTGCTTAGACTGCTGCCCCCGCGACCCGGCCCCGGATAAGCGGAAGAAAATGGATGGATGGATGGATGGGTTACACGCCGTCATACTGGCTTGGTTCTGTTATGTACTGATATGAGACAGCTTTTGCTGCTACAAGAAATATCATCACATTTTCATATCGTGAGATCTCATTGAACGAGATCTTGACATACCCCTGTTAATTAGAAGGCCACCTGCATTCCATCAAATTTTACTACCTGGGGTTCCTTTGGGAACAGGATTGACAGAAAGTTTTCAGACATAATGTCTAGTTGGGGAAATAAGGTGACCTCAGTGTAATCGGTCCCCAGACGGGTCGGGATGTTTAAATAGAGCTGCAAGAGACTGAGGTCTCAACATTTGAACAGGGCTTCTGGTTGTCAAAAAACTGACAACAGTGAATTTTATCTGAAATAAATAAAGGTATGATATCTTAATCCACAAAAAGGTTTTTTCCTTTACATAGGTGGGGAGATTTAACAAAATAAATAATGTTAGCTAGCTTCTTTTTTTTTTAAGACATGATTTTCTCTAACAGATTCTCAAAATTGGAACAGCTGTTGAATGCCTTTAAAGACAACGTGGGAGTTTATCTGAATAAATAAGGCACAATTATTATTATTTTATCTAGAAAAGGCTTCTGTTTAATTATTTAAGCTTTTTCAATACAGTATTTTCTCTTCCTATAGTAAAAGTGGAGCTTTAGGTTGTCAAAAACGCAGGCCGTCAGCAGCGGCGCTTCATGTTGTGATAAACCCAGAAATAGAGTGGAACAGTCTGTGTATGGAGCAGAAACACAAATGTCTGCAGAAACACAAAACAGTAATATTGAATGAGAATACGTTACAGACTATGGTTTAAAAAAAAAAAAAAAAAAAAAAAAAAAAAAAAAAAAAAACTGTGGATAACTATAATTTTCTTCCAAACAGAGCTGGCACTGCTCGTCCACGTTGCAGCACCTGCTACAGCTGTCATCTGAGTGTAAAATTTTATCCAGGAAAAGATGCCAGTGGTACGTTGTCAGTAACATGGATAAGACATGTCTCTCCATCAACCTAGCCCATCTTATAAATCCAGGGCTGACTGACCATCAGGAAACAGAAAACAGTACACAGATCCATAGGAATGCAGGGTTCACTCCTGATACACCGGTCAGATTGGTACGTGTCTAAATTTGAACATTTGCTGCAAATAAACATCATAAAATTGTTCAGAACATAGGAAAGATCTGGTTTCACAAAGCACATGACCGACCATCAGAGTTAAGGAAAAACCATGTACATCCAACATCTGTTGAGTGAATGACATCAACATCGGACCCGATACCAATACAGGCCCATCTCGAATATTTACAAATTGTTTTTCATATTGAAACTTGTCCATGTGTTGTGGTTAATTAATAAATATAAATAATTAATGAAGTTATGGCTGTTGTGCCACATGCCTAAATGCACAGCTCTCTCACTGGAGGACATCCATGCTGCTTCTGTATGAAAGCTAAAGTTATTTACTAAACTTAGAGGAAAGACCCAAACAGTACAATTAGCTGCAGTCAACAAACAAAACCGCAGCTGCTCTTAATGTTTTGATCGACATTATCAGTGATCTTCATTAATCTGATCTGTAACAGACTTGTCTTCATCGCATTACAAGTTGTGTTAATCAAAAATTGTGACCATGAACCTGGAAACAGAACAAAAATATGCAGCGTGTAAATACTGTCTAGTAGTCTACTTCACCTTTCTTTCACCTGCTTTGAAAACAGAATTAACTAAATGGCAATAACCATTTGTACAAAATACCACTAATTCATCACCACTCCCCACAGTCTCATTTTAAGTTTATGCCTGCCATTTTGACCATAGATTTAAAAAAAACATCTTTTTTTTAATCTATGATTGTCTTTGCATTTTAAAATAAAAATAATTTTAGCACTTGTATTTCTAAAAGGAATCTTCAAATAGCCAAAAATACAATCTAACCACAGGGGTTGCAAGCCAGTGACTTCTGTGCCAGTCTCAGGCCCGGATAAATAGAGAGGGTTGTGTCAGGAAGGGCATCCAGCGTAAAAACACGCCAAATTTAAACATGCGAATCATTAGTACGAATTCCCTACCGGATCGGTCGAGGCCCGGGTTAACAACAACCGCCACCAGTGCTGTTGACCTACAGGGTGCTGGCGGAAATTGGACTACCGTTGGTTAAAGAAGGAGAGGAGGTAGAAGGAGTCGTAGATAGAGAGAGAAAAGGAAAGGCAGAAGTATAGGTCTGAGAATAGGGACTCTTAACGTTGGCACAATGACAGGGAAAGGAAGAAAGCTGGTGGACATGATGGAGAGAAGGAAGGTAGATATACTGTGTGTGCAGGAGACCAGGTAAAAGGGTAGCAAAGCGCATAGCATTGGAGGGGTATACAAACTGTTTTATTATGGTGTGGACAGGAAGAGAAATGGGGTAGGAGTGATCCTGAAGGAGGAGGTGGTGAGGAATGTTTTAGAGGTGAAAAGAGTGTCAGACAGAAGTTGGAAATTAAAGGGGTAATGTTGAATGTAGTCAGTGGTTATGCTCCACAAGTAGGGTGTGAGTTAGAAGAGAAGGAGAGATTCTGGAGTGAGTTAGATGAGGTGATGGAGAGTATTCCCAGAG